CTTCTCATAATATTTTTTTACTTTGATCCAGAGCTGTTCAGTACTTCAAGTAAAAGTACTTGAAGTAATACTTCAAGTACTTTAAGTACTTCAAGTACTTTACTTGAAGTACTTTTATATTTAGGTACTTGGTACTTGGTACTTGAAGTATTTCTAAAATGTACTTGAGTTTAGTACTTGATTTTGCCAAGTACTTTACTCCAAGTACTTCACTCAGTATTTTAAATACTCTTGAATTACTTGAAGTATGAAAGTGGAAATTTCAAATACTTTAGTCTCTATTTTACGAAGTTTTCATATCTCAAAACAGGGTCTGTTAAATACTTGAAGTTATTAATTCAATTATTTGATTAGATGTATTTTTATAGTAAAATCGTGTTTGTTTCCTGTGAGGTTATATTTTGATCTGTGATTGTGGATATCTTATCCACAATATGACGTACATTTCATAGGTACTTGCATAATGCCGATAGATAGGTAGGTAAGAAAATTAATGTCATAAATATGCCATTTGAGAGTGGATGACGACAGCAGAAGGGTCGGAGACCTGTGTAAAATTTTCAGCGATGTAAAGTTGTGAATATATGAATTCTGTCTTTTTTGTATTTTGGTCTGGAACTTAACTTTGCGGGTAGTTTTTCAGTACCTCCCGGTACCCCAAAGGGAATCGGGTTTGTTGACGTACCTGCTAAAGTGCAAGGTCGGATTTGAAAATATTTGAGAAATGATTCAGTACTCGTTCAAAAAGATATTTATTCTTTCATTAGTTTCTTAACCCCGCCGCGTATTTGTCAGTAAGAAGCCTGGTCAGGGCGGAGAACTCGGCAGGGGATTATCCCTTTTATTATAATAGCAATAGCTGATGGCAGGTACAGACTTTCATATTCCCCTCTTCCTCGTAGAATTTAAACACAATTTTATGTTAAATATTTTGAAGTTTAGTTTTCTTTATCATGTTAAACACTCGTTTTTTACCAAATTTTCTTTTTTTGTTTATACATGGTTCAGCCATATAAACTTAGTTTGTTATTACTACTTATATTTTCTCACATTACAGTTTCAAATAATCTGTTAAATTGTATGAATTATCTGAACACCAACAATTTAAAAAGACGTAATGCAGAAAAACAATGATTTTAAAAGTCACACTAATTAGTGTCATTTGTCTTTCCTGTGCGGATTTTATTTATTACCGTACAACAACTTTCAATATTGTTCAAAATGAAATACGTTTTGTGAAACTCCGCTCGTAGTACCAATGTTTTTTGTAATCCAGTTGATACGACCATGATTGTATGGTTTTGATGAGTACCGAATTGTACTTTGATATTGCTCGAAGGACCTTTGTTTTGTTGTGTGCGAAATAATAGACAGCGTTCGGTTTCGATGTTTAAATACAGGACGGTTACAGAAGTACTGAATTTACATTTGTATTTACAATATCAGGTAAAGATACCCAAAAGGGTCAGTGGCCGCTTCCGTAAATGGAACAAAATACATATTCACATTATAAAAAAATACAAAGTTAATGAAATTCGCGATTAGTTAGTATAATTGCCTAGATAAGTACACCCCTACGAAATATTTTAACAATAATAAATTTAGTACATATTTACCTGAATTTTCGCAAAAGCCGTTGTTAGGCATTCCCTGAAGTCATTGTAGTTATCAATTACTAATGTCATCTTCTTTGAGTTTTCAGGTAAAAATAAAAAATAAGCCAATCGAAAATGTAAAGGAAAATTCTGAAAGTATTGTGGCATTAGAGCAACAAAATTTTGTATAAATGGACGGAACAGCATTACGAACCTATTATTTGTGATTTGTCAGTGTAAAGTTACATACTTAGTTAGACAAACATTGTAGTGATTAGTGTTTACTATTTAGTCACTGTAGTATCTAGGTTAATTTAATAATTTTTAGAATAGTAAATACGTAGGTGGTAGACAGATATATTCAGGAATATGGGGCATTCATTCCAAGAAAATCCTCAGCATTTTTGGTAACCGCAAAAGTAAAAAACGACTAATTACTTTGATCACCTTGATATTTTTCAAGAGTTACAGTTTTCGCTGAAAATGGACTCTCGTTTTAGGCATTTTATTTTTTATTTAAAAAATTCATACGTTTTTTTTGAAAATGCAACATAGTGACTTAAAGATTTTTATGTCACGAGCATGTATATGTATCGCACTGCTCTTAAAATTTTTTTCTGAAAAATTTCAGTTTTACAAATCCGGCCCTGTGCACTTTCACAATGGGTAATGATTAAGGGTGCTGTAAACTACCCACAAACTTAAATACGGAACCGGTTCATAAAATTCATATATTTTTAACACAAATTTATTAAAAAATCAGTACGTTTTGGTGGTGAACCAAAATTCAAAATATTAAAAAAGGCAACAGAAGCCTGAGAAAATACCATACAGGGCCGATGTTTTTGTTATAAATTAATAGTAAGCATACATAGACAACGCCGTCATGTATTTTATTTTAAATTTTAAATTAGAAATAGACGTTAATTTTGTCGAAGGTATTGTGTCAACAGAAAGATGTAAAAGTATTTCAAAAGAATACTTTTTATAAATAACATAGTATTATTAATAAGTGAGCTACCATTCTGCATTTAAGTTGATGCTTATGCAATTTTTTATGTGGCGAAATATGTATTATTGTATACTTAAATTCTGAGTATTAAAAAATTCAGTTCTAAAATATATTAAGCTTTTTTAAAAAAACAGGAAAAGTTATCTAATTCTACAGTATTTCAAATAATTAGAAAGTACTTGAAGCATTTTCAGTACTTCAAGTATTTGTAAGTACTTGAAGTATACCTCCAGTACTTCAAGTACTCGTAAGTACTTGAAGTAATGTACTTGGCTTGTACTTCAAGTACATCTGAAAAGTACTTGATACTTGAAATACTCTTGCTGAAAGTAAGTACTTGGTACTTTACTTGAGCACTATTTCAAGTAGTACTTGGTACTTGGTACTTCAAGTACTTTTTTTGAGTACTTTGAACAGCTCTGCTTTGATCACATTATTGAATAGACAGTATGTCTCCGGATTGCGTTTACAAGAAGAGAAATAATTTTATTTGTGATTTTCTAAAAAATTGTCAAAGGAATAAAAATGTATTGCTTGCTTATTTGTCAATAAATCCAAAATTTTAGCGTCTTCTACTTACTACTCAATTCCCATCACCATAAGAAAACATAAAAACCCGACCCTTTTTTATTAAAAATGCAACTGTTGGAAGCTAAAGAAATAATCAGAGTTCTCAAAACACATATTCTACGATTTTTGATAGAAAGCGAGTGATGATTTTTTTAACAAGGAAATTAAATAAAATATTACTGGTTTTAGTGATTCTTAAAAACACACATAGCAATGTTGGAGTAAATATCACGGAAAAATATCGATTTTGTTTCCACAAAATTCTACTCTATATACAGGGCACAGTTTTAGACGGTCTTTTGACACACTACTAGCACAGTGTGGACCAAACTTAATAGATCTATCTGCTACACTTTTTTGTTACGAGGTTTCAGATTTATAAGATTTCAGTTTTAGAAAAATGGCATTTCAAAAGCAAAATTTTGTTTTTGGGGTGCTTATGAACTGATTGTTTATGAATTATGTAGTCGTTTTAAATTAATTTTGTCTTCAAAGAATTATTTTTAACGAAGATAGATACGAAAAAATGCAAAATTTAACATTCCACTTACATTTTATTTGCGTTGTGACGAGTCTTTAAGTTCTTCTCATAATATTTCAACTGTAATAAATGTTTTGCTTAAAAATCATTTTTTAGTTTGACCACCTTTACTTGGTTTACTGGAGGCAAGATTGTTGTAGCGATGTAAATGTTAATTTGAACTAAGTGTTAGAAATGTATTTATTTCATCTTAATGATTTTAATAATATGTTTAAAAGGACCGACGGTTTTCTCTAATTTATTATTTAGACTTAATAACTTCTCAATTGGGAATTTTAAACAGGAGATTGCTAATTCAAAAAATGTTCAAAATTAAATCGTGAACATTTTATGCGTATTCGTTGTGTGGAAAACAAAATTCTATGTGTTGACATGTCCTGATTTTAAGATTTATCAACAAGTGATTAAACATTGCTTAAAAACGAGTTAAAAACTTTCATCTTGCGGGTTAAATTTGGTTAAAAATTGACCTATTATTCTGATTGAATAAAACTCTAACGTTATTTTAAGCCTATGTTCACTGGGGTAGTTTTTGTTCTTCGAGTCGTGGATTTATTCCTCCTTGATTTTATCGAGTTCCAATTACTGTCCGTTAGCCCCCACTCTGTGTATAATTGCGCCTGTTTTATTAAAACGGCTAATTTCATAAAATGTATCCGATAGTAAAAACAATTGTAATTGCAGGCCTGGCTCGTGGATGTAATTACAGCCTCCGGGAGGCGTTTAAAAAATAAAATTCGTGTGAAATAAAAACTGATGACGAAAAACCGAAACGCCTCTCCCTCGTGTAGAATGTTTTATTTAGGGTGTCTCGGAATTCAGTGAATGGGTGGTTCGCGTTTAATTATACCCTGACGGACACTGTGGGCCGCTGTGTGTGATACGGCCCTGCATATCGGGCATTTTAAATCGACTCAGGAATAATTCAGGGAAATGAAGCGATTTCTAACGTCGATTTAATTGTTTTGTAATTACAAAACGTCTACTTATTTTGTTTTCTTTAGCCATGCAGGCGTATTGTTCTTGTCACGATATCATTATTGAAATATTAATGCGGCGAAGATAAAGGGGGGCTTCCTTTGTTTCGATTGTTAGGAAATAACACATTATTTAAATAACAGGGGGTTGGCTTCACTTCAATATAATATTATACAAAGCATAATATATGTGGAAAAGTAGAAAACTTCACTCAAATCCTTTTTTCTACATACGTAACGTATAATCACGGGACGGAAAAATACCCACATGGGTCTCCGCATTTTGTCTCTTATTACGAACTCACCACAAACTGCTTCTCGCCGCCGGGACCGATCGTGGGGGCCTTGCTCTGGGGGTCCTTCTCGCCGGGACCCTCCCATTTCCATCGAGACTCGGGCGGATGCGACGCGTGCAGCGCCGGCTGGCTGGAGTCGGCCTTCTCGACCACGGACTTCATCTCCTGCTCGCACAGGCTCCCGGGGGACCAGATGCTGTGGGTCCGGGAGCGCCCCTTCATGGACAGGTTGAGGGGGACCTCGTCCTCTGCGAAAACAGAGCAATGGTAAAGTATGGGTTACACATCCACAAGCTTAATTACGCTAGCAGTTGTAGTATGTTCCACAATTATTCAATATTTAGTAATGAGCGGCGGCTCAAACCGGGTGTTATTGGCCGAGGAGGAATATCGACAATACAGTTTATTGGGTTCGTAGCTACAGGATTTAAGGACATAAATTTCCTGTCTTTGCTCTCATTTAAATTTTTTCATAATAAATTGTAAAAGGACAAAGTGTTAAGTTATATAATGTGAAACGAAATTATGATGTATGATAATATTTTATTCCAAGGTTCTTATCAAGTGGTATTTCCAGCACCATCTTAGTCGTCAAACCACAAAAATTTTGTTCATCTGCAAATTTTTTAACCTCATGGAAAAGTTCCAAATGTTAGAATAATATTGTGACGTTCCTTGATTTTTTTAGCCATTACATAAGTCAACACCAAGAAACAACTATTTAGATTAAGACCCCTAAAAACAACAACAACTTACACCAATTTGAAAGCTCCCCGTCCATAAATAACTCCACTAATCACACCAAAACTGCAATTAATTCGCACGCGCGATTCCGTTCATTACCAACCGTATTTCCACAAACCCTATCACCTGTCAAGTAACTAAACCGTAGCAAGATTAAAGCAGTAATTAGTTCGATAACTCTTAACAGCCTTCAGAGGCACCTAAAAACCTCATAATTGTCCGATAAGAAGTCCACGTGCGCTTATAATTTTTCATGACTGGTATGAGCACAATCGATTTCACTTTATATAATTGCCGATTATTTATTCCAATTCCCATTCGTTATTACACGATTAATTATTGATGGACGAATTGAATTGTTAACCTGTTAAGAAACGAGCCCTTACCTGTTTTCACTTTTTCCGGGGTGAAAGCTTGGTCCGCGGAAGTGGCGCTTTCCGGGCTGAGGGACTCCATCTTGGGGGAGTACGGCAGGAACAAGCCCGGGATGGGGTGCCACACGTAGGGGTTGTAGGGGGTGGGAACGAGGGTGTTGAGCGAGTTCGCATACATCAGCGCACTCATCCCTGGAAAAATAGTTATTAAAGTTAGAGCTGAAGCGGCATTTATTTTTAATTCTAGTGCTGCGTCGGGGACTGGGGTTAAATTATTAATTACCCTCAATGTGGTTTGACATTTTTAAATATTTGGTTCTAGATAGCATTCAGGCAGATTCAGTTAGATTCATTAGCCTAATAACTTCTACAGTGGAATCAAAGTCGTAAAAATACGATAAAATTGGTTAGTCTCGAATCACTCTTAAAATCCAATAAAAATTTGTAGCCAACATTTAGTAACCTCTGCGACTTTGTTTTATTATTGACTATGATATTAGTACTGATAACATTTTATAGAGAACAGAAATTAACGTAACTATCTATATTTTATGGGCGAATCATTTGGTTTCACTAGTTTATTTTCGAAATTTTGAAATCTGGCTATACAGGGTAATCAAAAAATGATGGAGAAGCTAGTATGTTGTTGAAAAAGCATTGAAGAGCTCAAAAAGGTGCTTAAAAAATTCCTGAATCAATCTTTCCTTTTTTTTTTCAAAAACCAATTATTAAAAATAAGGAGAATGAATAAACTACAGGTGTTTTTGCATCTTGGATGGGACCTATTAGTAAAATTTTCATATGGAGTCTTCCAGCGTGGGTCAGTTGCGCTCAGCGGTCAAAAAGATTTGCATATAATTTGAAGAGTTAATACCATAAACAATTGTTGCCTTTTAAACTCCGGATAATTTCGGACATTTTGTTAATAAAGCACCTAATGAAAAGATTTTATCTCAATTGTACTTCGATTAAAATTCACATGAATTAACTTACGTAATGTCGGCAATTGGATATTGGTAAAAATTTTTATCGGTCTTAAATTTTCTACCAATTCAGTTTTTTTTTACAAGATTATTTTACTTTTTTACAAATCTATAAGAAACACTTTTTAGAAAAGTAGATCTGCTGATTTTTTATCCGTGTACTGTTATATAGACTTACTATGAAACTCATGAAACTGTAATGTTGGCTTCTTATCAGCTAGGTACGTGTAGGCAATGAAAACCTTTGTAAACTAACCGTGGCGTGCAAGTGACCAATACCCGGTGTGGTTCAATCTTTAGTAGGAATCAACAGATAATTTTTTCTAGTTTTGACTATTTGTTTCATAAAATCTCCAACAAACGATATAGAGCACGAGTATTATTAATTTTCGGTTTCCCGGTTTCTTGATTTTTCAAGTTTTTGATTTTCGACATTACGATTTTTTAATTTCCCGATTTTTCAACTTTGCGATTTCCCGATATTTCAATTTTTCGATCTCTTAATTTCTCGACTTCCCAATTTCTACGTTTCTATTTCCAGATTTCTCAATTTTTCGACTACATGGAAAATTTTTCAGAGACCTAAAGTCCGTTCCGTTTTGACTTTGCAGCGTACAAAAATTATCATAAAATTTTTCTTATTCCACTTTTATTCATGTTAAAATTTGCTTTCTATATACCTATTAAAATTTTATAGTAAATCGAATTATTTCTTGAATCTTCATAATTTTAAAATTCCGTTTTTTGGTTATTTACCACACGATATTTCAAAAATTCTACAAAATTTTGTCTTAGTGTTTTAACTGTAACATAACCAAACAAACTGATTCTAACAATGTAACTCCAGATTCGTAATTTGGCAATTTTCAATTTCTTGATACCTCGATATTCCGATTTCTCAATTTTTCAATTTCCCGATTTTTCAATTTTTAAATATTTAAGTGTTTTGATTTTTCGACATTGCGATTTTATAATTTGTCGATTTTTCGACTTCGCAATTTCTCGATTTTATATTTTTCTATTTCTCGTTTTCTCCATTTTTCAAGTCTTCGATCTCTGGATTTTTAAAGTTCTGGAAGAGACTCTTCGCTTTCTCGATTTCCCAATTTTTGGATTTTCTCACCTTTCGTCTTTCTACCTTTTCGAATTCCACATTTTTCGATATCTCGATTTTTTGGTTTTTCGCCTTTTCGATTTTTGATCTCTGGATTTCTTTCGATTTAGATTTTTCAAATATTCGATTTTCTTTCGATTTATCTATTCCTCGATTTCTCCAATTTTCGGTATCTCAATATCTCGACTCTCGACTATTTGGTATTTTTTCGAATCTATTTTTCGAATTTTCGATTTTTTTATTTTCAGATTTTTCAATTTTTCGGCTTTTCGATTTCTCGGTTTTTTCGATATTACGACGTTTCGATCTTACTTGATTTCATAATTTTTCAACTTTTCGGTTTTTTTTCGATTTCCCGATTTTTCGATTTCTCAAATTTTCTATTTTTCAATTTTCAGGTTTCTCGATTTTTCTACTTTTAAATATTCAAGTATTTTGATTTTTTCGTATAGCGATTTTATAATTTCTCGATTTTTATAATTTTCTATTTTTCGTTCTTTCAATTTTTCAACGTCTTCGATCTCTCGATTTAACGAATTTTCGATTTTTCAATTTCTGGGCTTTTCGAATTCCACATTTCTCGATTTCTCAATTTTGTAATTTTTCGCCTCTTCCATTTTACAAGATCACGATTTTTCTACGTTCTACATTTTCATGTTTTCGATTCCTTGATTTTCCTAATTTCCGGCTTTCCGATTTTTCAGTTTTTAAATATAGGCTTACAAGTTTTTTGATTTTTCGACATTGCTAATTTTTTAATTTCTCTGTTTTTCGACTTTTCGGTCTCTCGAATTCTCGATTTCCCGATTTCTTAGTTTTTCGATCTGTCAATTTCCCCGTTTCTAGGTTTTCCGACTTTTCGATCTCTCGATTTAGATTTTTCAATTTCTCGATTTTCTTTCGATTTTTCTATTGCCCGATTTCTCCAATTTTCGGTATCTCAACAGCTCGACTATTCGGCATTTCTTTCGAGTCTATTTTTCGAATTTTCCATTTTTTTATTTTACGATTTTTCAATTTTTCTGCTTTTCGGTTTCCGGATTTTTCGATATTACGTTTCGATCTTTCTTGATTTCATGGTTTTTCAACTTTTCGATTTTTTTTCGATTTTCCGATTTTTCAATGTCTCAATTTTTTAATTTTTCAATATTCCGGTTTCTCGATTTTTCTACTTTTAAATATTCAAGCATTTTGATTTTTCCACATTGCGATTTTATAATTTCTCGATTTTTATATTTTCCTATTTTTCGTTTTGTCAATTTTTCAAGTCTTCGATCTCTGGATTTAACGAATTTTCAATTTCTCAATTTCTGGGATTTTCGAATTCCACATTTTTCGACATCTCAATTTTTGATTTTCTGGCTTTTCCATTTTACAAGATCTCGATTTTTCGATGTTCGGCTTTTTCATATTTTCGATTCCTTGATTTTCCGAATTTCCGGCTTTCCGATTTTTCAATTTTTAGATATAGGGTTACAAGTTTTTTGATTTTTCGACATTGCTGAATTTTTAATTTCTCTGTTTTTCGACTTTTCGATCTCTCGAATTCTCGATTTCCCGATTTCACAATTTTTCGATCTCTCAATTTCCCCGTTTCTAGTTTTTCCGACTTTCCGATCTCTCGATTTAGATTTTTCAATTTCTCGATTTTCTTTCGATTTTACTATTGCCCGATTTCTCCAATTTTCAGTATCTCAACATCTTGACTATTCGGTATTTCTTTCGAATCTATTTTTCGAATTTTCCATATTTTTATTTTACGATTTTTCAATTTTTCGGGTTTTCGATTTCCCGATTTTTCGATATTACGACGTTTCGATCTTTCTTGATTTCATGGTTTTTGAACTTTTCGATTTTTTTCCGATTTTCCGATTTTTCAATGTCTCAATTTTTTAATTTTTCCATTTTCCGGTTTCTCGATTTTTCTACTTTTAAATATTCAAGCATTTTGATTTTTCCACATTGCGATTTTATAGTTTCTCGATTTTTATATTTTCCTACTTTTTGTTTTCCCAATTTTTCAAGTCTTCGATCTCTGGATTTAAGGAATTTTCGATTTTTCAATCTTTGAGCTTTTGGAATTATACATTTTTCGATATCTCAATTTTTTGATTTTTCGCTTTTTCCATTTTACAAGATCTCGATTTTTCGAAGTCCCACTGTTTCATATTTTCGATTTCTAGATTTTCCAAATTTCCGGTTTCTCGAATTTTCAGTTTTTATATATACAAGTTTTTTGATTTTTCGACACTACCTATTTTTTAATTGCTCGGTTTTCGGCTTTTCGATCTCTCGAATTCTCAATTTAACCCTTTTTCAATTTTCGACTTAAAGGATTTCCAATTTCTCAGTTTTTCGATCTCTAGATTTCTTTCGATTTAGATTTTTCAATTATTCGATTTTCTTTCGATTTTTCTATTCCCCGATTTCTCCAATTTTTGGTATCTTAATCTCTCGACTTTTTGCTATTTCTTTCGAATCTATTTTTTATTTCCCGATTTTTCAAATTTTCGGCTTTTAGATTTCCCGGTTTTTTGACATTACGACGTTTCGATCTTTTTTGATTTCATGATTTTTCAACTTTTCGATTTTTTTTCGATTTTCCGATTTTTCAATTCTCAATTTTTCCATTTTTCGGTATCTCAATATCTTGACTTTTCGGTATTTTTTTCTAATCTACTAATTTTTCGAATTTTCGATTTTTTTATTTTCCGATTTTTCAATTTTTTGGCATTTCGATGTCTCAGTTTCTCGATTTTTCTATTTTCAAATATTCAAGTATTGTGATTTTTCGACATTGCGATTTTATAATTTCTCGATTTTTCTATTTTTCGTTTTTTCAATTTTTTAAGTCTTCGATCTCTGGATTTAATGAATTTTCGATTTTTCAATTTCGGGGCTTTTTGAATTCCACATCTTTCGATATTTCAATTTTTTGATTTTTCGCGTTTTCCATTTTACAAGATCTCGATTTTCCGATGTTCCACTTTTTCATGTTTTCGATTTCTTGATTTTCCGGTTTTTCCGATTTTTCAGTTTTTAGATATACAATTTTGTTGATTTTTGGACATTTCGGATTTTTTACTTTCTCGGTT